CATGAAGTGAATGGGATTAGGCAGCAGGCATAGCCTATTTTAGCCCTCTCCCTAGCATCCTTGAAGTAACAATCGGCTGATTTTTGCCATTGCATCGGGTGCATTTGCTAGGCTGTTGTGTGATGTTTTAAGTCTGTTGACACTTGTTTGTCTCTAAGTTCTTGTGCGTCCTTTGATGCAGTTTCCATGGCCACGGATATTTCAATGGCTTTCTGCAGTGTGAGTGTTGCCTTGATAACAGCTGTCTCTGTATTTGTTCATTGTTTACTCCGCACACTATTCTGTCGCGAAGGGTATCGTTTAAATTATTTATCTCCGAATTTACAATATTCATCCAGTTTCCGAAGTTTTGCTACGTATTCATTTACTGATTTGCCGTCCATTCGTTGTCGTCGATTGAACCTGTACCTCTCTGCAATTACAGATGGTTTGGGGGATATATGGTCCTTCAACAATTTAACAATGTCCTGAAAATTTTTGTCAGCTTGTTTTTCCAGACTAGTGAGATCACGTAATATAGAATAAGTTTTTCTCCAATCAAGCTTTAGAGCGCTGGTACTTTCGTGCTATTTTCTACTTTGTTCGCCTTGAAATACTGTTCAAGTCTTTCAACATATAAGTCCAAGTTTCAATGCTGTCATCGAAGGGGTCAATTTTTCCAATGTACCTGCCATTTTGGTAATGATGTCTTTAACTGTTAATCACAGAAACTTTGCAGTATCCTTTGACACGAAAATTTCCATGGAATTATCAGCAATATTTAAAACATCCTCGTCGCCAATTTGTTGTGTATGAATAAATACAAACACGTCTGTTCACTATGGCTACATTTTATTAACTGATATACATTAACATGCATTAGGCTACAAACTCTAGAAATTCACAGACTATCAAATAACAAGTTCTGCAGAGCCAGCGATTTCAATATAAACAATTTAAGGTTAACCCATTAGCAGCTATCAGAATCAATTACGGTTCTAAACATTGTTTTATTTATGTTAGAGATGCATATGTGAACTTTAGAATATAGAAGTTAAGATCAATAAAGATATAACAAAAATTGTACAAAAGCACTAGATGTAATTAAAGTTATTGTAAATAAAACGGGGGGGGGGGGGGCAGACAGAAATACTCTTCTTAAACTCTGTCGCTCTCTTGTAAGATCTAAATTAGACTATGGTTGTATTGTGTATGGATACGCAAGGACTTCTTATTGTAAAGCTTTTCTCGGTGACTGGTATAGTGGCACATCTTACATCGGATGGAAAGGATCCATGCCAGGCCTCGTTTTTCCTCCCCATCCAGATTACAGTCCAGTGAACCGTCCCAGTCTGGAAACTTATTCGAGTGTTCTATAAATGCATGGTTCCACAATTTAGCAGTCTTTTCTTTGTAGAATGTTGGATTCGGGTCATCTGACACAGCTTCTATGTAGAAATCTACAGGTTGGACTTCACTTGGCCCGGGTCGCAAAATCTTTACCTCACTGCTTCGGCTCTTGATATCTGTAACTGCAAACATTCAATTTTTTGTGGCCGTACAATGTCCTGAAACTCTTCTTTACCTAGTCTTCTCATTGGAACTAGAAATGGGACTGGGCTGGTGGTCCCTATATTCTTCCGGCCTTTGTTGTAAGGAATACTCCCTTTTTTGTATTGATGTTGATGCAACCATTTTGGTCCCTTTTTTGGCATGATTATTATCTAACTGTACACTTGTAGACGTTTTATAAGAATATGCTATTGTATGTGATGCACATTTTTAAGTTTTGTAGACTTTTGTGTTGTTTATTTATTTTAGAGCTGTCTGGTCTTCTAAGAGAAACTCCAATCTTTGATGACTGATGGAAAAACCTCATCACCCCCACTGCTAAAGAAGCTCTTATCTTAATCACCAGCCATTAATCAGTGATCACCGTTATCAAAGCCCCAAGGTACGTTATTGAAGTCTTTTTGACACCTTTTTTTCCAGTCTCTGACTTTGTTTTAGAATTAAGATTTTCAAATTTTTGCTTATTAATTCCTTAAAAATCAGTAAACTTCCTGTTTCTTAGCTAATTAAAGCTTATAAATTAAGAGTTGAAAAAAAAACCTTTGAGCAAGTAGCTAAAAACTCGAACATTTCAGCTTATATTTCATTCCAAATTTTTTCCTCCATAATACACTCATAATTTTTTTTATAAAGTTTTGAAATACTGTAGATGAATTGTACAAAAATTTAGCCTAAAATTCAATAATCTGTTCTGGAAGAGTTTTCTCTTATTTTGCATCTCTTAAGGACAAAATAAATTTTGAAACACTAGTATATGAAAAATAAACTCATAGTTATTTTCTGCAAATTTCATTAACTTTTAGTTGTCTTAAAGGTAATAGCCAATGAAAATGAACTTAGTCAATTATAGTTCTATATATAGAGAGACATTTCTTTCTTTTTTTTTTTTTCATTTTTGGCAACTCTTTGAGGCCTACAGTTAGTACAGTATTAATTTTGGACTCCTGTGCTAGGAATATCATATCTTTAACAGAATTATTCCATTGATATAAAGGAAACTCCTTTTTAGGTGTGCATAATGTAACTTCCTGGATGGTGTGTAGGCTGTTTGTCAACATGTTTACTGTCAATTTTCTTTCTAAAAAGCCGCATAAGGCGTATTTTTTCTTATCTCAAATTTTTGTTTCAGCATTAATCTTTGTTTTCTCTTTTATGAATAATCTGCTGAGAGTCAAATTCATTTCATTAAAGCGATATAGTAACATACTGAAATAATTGCCATGTGTGAGAGCTTAAAACTGTACTTGCCTGTTTCTCTCTTGTTTCTAGGTTGGCCAATTCGGTCATCTTCCCCCTAGGCTCTGTATCTGTATTCTCGAGAGAGAGACTCCCAGCGATCCATCTTGACCTTCTTGCAATCCATCTGAACCTCAGGTTCGAATTCAACAAATACACGTGGACCATTCTATTTTGAGCTAGATTTTATCTATGTATGCATTTACAGTCAACTTGTGAAGAGAGTGTAATCAGGTATAATAATAATTATGAATTCCTAAATGTTGCACAAAAATTGCATCGGCACATGTGCAAAACAACATTATTGACAAAAAATTGTCATCGTGATCTTTGGTACATATAAAGTGCTGGAGGCAAGTCTGAATTTTATTTCTTAAGAAAAAATTCAAAGAGAAATTCAACTTACCCATATACAAGGGGGCATTTTCAATTCTCAATCGCAATTTATACAAAATAGAATAAATTACATACAATCCTCTAGCAAAATTCAGTTAGAGGACATACTTCTCTAGTAGATCCACACAGAATATTTTCAGTTTATCCTTATTAATCACTTGTGCCAGTCAAATATATCCACGATTTATAAATTCTAGCTCTATCCACGGACGTGTAAAGGGGAGGGGGGGCGTTTCGCAGTCAATTTTTTGTTATTGTTTGAATATATGTATATCGGACAAGTTAAAGGAATAACGATATTAAATTGCAAATATTCAACATCTTAACAGTACACTTAAGCTTAAAGAACAATTCAGACACTTGAATCAAACAACAACGCTAAAAAATCTTTACGTCATTTGAAAGGAATGTAAAAGTTATGACACTTAACCCGTCATGTCAGCTCATATATGCAGTGACTTGACGTCATATCTAGGTAGTTCAGAGATGTTATTACAGTTGGAACAGTTTGATATTTTACGGACAGCCTCATCCTAGCCGCGTAGCTTCACTCCTTTCTCCCGGAATGTCAAGCAGGCCAGGTTCCTTCTGATCACAACACAATTCCTCCTGATGTTTGGGACCAGGAATTCCCTAGTTAATTAAACAGATCATTGTCAATATATATAGTTATACTAAAGTAACTGTATGGTGTGAGTTTTACTACTCTTTATTAAACAGCAATATATACACTAAAAAACTCTGTCGTGGGTTCTGGCCCGGGCCGATTCACCATCTCTACACCCGTCCGGTCTGTTAGCCATCCTGGTGGTGAAAGGGATCCGTGATATTTTAAAACAGGTTACAAGCACGGTATATAAATGTTTGAGAAGGTAACCTTTTTTCAATTCATTTTTTTTCAACAGTTATTTGGTGATCTTCTGATAGTTATCTTAGTTTGTGAAAATGGCAGAGGCTCAGTTATCATTCATATAAGTAATTTATTTTCCTTTTTTTAACTTAAAAAAAATTAAGACTTGAAAAAAGGCCTTATTGAAATTTTTTTTTTTTTGAGTCATTTAGATTAAAACCGTTTTCTTAAAATGTATTTTTACATGGACAAAATGAATACACTCTTAGAGATAGTGTGTAACTTTTTATTCATGGATCATTTTAATCTTTGATAAGCAAACATTGATTAAAATTTTGACACGAAAGACAATGAAAAGAGAACCATGATAGTCTTGTGTACATGTGGACTTAGTCAATATATACATATTTTTATACAATTAAACCTTCATTTCCCGAAGAAAAAAACTTTATTTCTTTTCCTATATTTTAATTAGGAACGCCGAAAAGAAAAATGAGGGGAGAAATAAAAATCCAATTCTGAGGGAAATATTACGAAAACCTGTAAAAGACCAACTGCAGGAAATTCAGAAGCAGCCTCAACAACAGCAAACAAAACAAAGATTCATCAAAGAACTTCTCGGAATTCCAAATGTTGTGGAACAACTTGCAAATTGATCTTGATGAGAAGAATTTCGAGTCTAGGTGAGTATATTAAAATATTGAATTTTATAAGCAATATAGAAATATATATATATATATATATATATATATATATATATATATATATATAATCATTTTGATGGTAAATAATTATGCATAATTCAATAAGTATGAAAGTATATGTATAACAGGTTTATGATAATAAAACATTTATGGGTATTGATCCTTACTATTTTGTATTTGCCACCTTTTCTTTAAATAGAAAAGTCATATGTGTCCTCTGCGCATGCGCAGTTTCTAGCGCCAGTCGCCATTTTTATTAATTCACAGAGGAATTCCCCAAGAAAATAAGTAAGTTGTTTGGTGTTTTACGTACTGAAAAACACTTGGATTTATATAGATTAACTTGACTCAATCCCCAAAGAAGCGTTGTGTGCAAGGACAACCGCATTATACCATGCATGGCTGCGAAATCGTCGATGTCTACATTCGTTCGTAAAATCAGTGACCTGTACCAATTGTTTACAACCGACGGATACTCGGTAAGCATATACATGCTTGTTCCGGAGAACGTTTAAGTGTTGTATCTGAATGCCGAGTTGAATTTGTGTTGTTAGCTGAAAATTGAACGAATTGAAGCGAAAAGGATGTGTTAAACGAGACTGTGTCTGTTTACAAAAGTCACGTGACCGAAAGATGTCAACATAGTGCATTGGAAGTTCGCATGTGAGGAGATTCGCTTTGTATTTAGGTAACAGAGGTTCATCAGCGGAATTATTTAATGTCACTGAACTTTCTAATGTTAATTTCTTCGGAATCAGCGGAGGTACTGTTACCAATCCTCGCCATCTGGATTTATTTCTGGCAGCCGTCCAACGCCACCTACCCACCTTCCTTATAGTTCATTTGGGAGGAAATGACCTGGACAGTGAGGAAGACAATTCCGAGTTAGTTATGTATAAACTCGTGGCATTCTTGTAAACTCTCCAGAACCGCTTTTCCATACGGAGAATAACTGTCGTTAAACTCTTACCAAGGGAACGGACCAGGCACATCAGCCCTGCAGCATATAATGCTCATGTTGTGAATGCTAATAGAATTCGAAAGGAACAGTGTGCCACATGTAGTCTCGTTTACTGGCGCTTACGTGGGTTTACGAACAGCGTTGCCAATATTTATTCGGATGGTGTACACATGAACTCTATGGGGATGCGGAAGTATTTCCGCCAACTGAGAGGGATTCTGTTGTCTCAGCAAACTTTCTTATCTACGGTATAGCCATGATGTCAGGTGCTTCTGGCTTTACAAAGTTTAAAAAAAAAATGCAATTATATTACTGCTGCTGTTATACTTAACTTATTTATCATCTTATCTTTGTAATCTGTTAGTTATATCTGTTTTAGTGTAATTTGAGATTTGTCATTCTAATCTTTTATTTTGTATTTACAGCTATCATCTTCAGCTATCTAAAAGTTTACACTGGTTTTGCTTTGATCTTTGCAGTTCCTAAAGGTATATTTCATTTTATGCTTGTAAATCCTTGTATTCCTAAGCAATGGGCTATACTGGGGATTTTACCAATTGTACTAATGATAGCGAATAGATCACACAGACCAAATAATCGGCACTGGCTGCATATTACCACAAGTGCTCTGGTCTTGTCTGTCTAACTCGCATTTAGCAGCAGCACTAATTGCATATGACTGAAAGTGCTCTGGCCTTGTCAGTCTGACTATCAGCACTGGCTGCATATTACCACAAGTGCTCTGGCCTTGTTAGTTTATCTTACATTCGGCAGCATGCCTGCATATTACCACAAGTGCTCTGGCCTTGTGGATCTAATATTACCAGAAGTGCTCTGGCCTTCTTAGTTTAACTTACATTTAGCAGCATGGCTGCATATTACCACAAGTGCCCTGGCTTTGTCGGTCTAATATTACCACAAGTGCCCTAGCCTTGTCTGTCTAACTCACATTTAGCAGCACTGGCTGCATATTATCACAATTTCCTCTGGCCTTGTTAGTATTTTGAATCTTCCTTAAAAGCACAGGCTTCGTATTTATGGCAAGTGCTCTGGCCTTGTTAATTTATTGAATCTACATTGGAAGCACTGACTTCATACAACCATAAGTGCCCTGGCCTTGTTGGTATGATTTACAGATAGCAGCAGTGGCTGCATATTACCATAAGGGCTCTTGCCTTGTGGGTATCATGAACATCATCAGAGTTCGCAGGTGTTGTCCCTAGTACTCAGGCCTTATGGTATTAATAGTCACTCAACACTGTTAGTGTACTACCACAGAGGTTCTGTTATTGAGGATAATACATCTTAGCTCTGACTCACAACATTTTTGTTACCTTGGTCAGATATACTCTGACTAAATTAACACATGCTCGAGCTTATTGATGACTAACACCTTATTATAGGAGTGAATTAGACTTAACATCCAATTATATACTGTTTATTAATGTTTAATTTCACTGTACCTATGTGTTGTTCATCATTATAGCTTCAATTCACACATATTATTAATGATCGCAATCAGCATGTCTTTGAATGTGCATTTGAATTTTTAGGATGGCATCAAAACCTAAGAGGAAGAGAGCATCAAAACCTGCTCCCCCCTCTCCTGTGCTATCAACTTCTCCTACCATACCATCAACAGTTCCCGTATCGACACAGAGCTCCATCTTGATTACACCTTCCTCACCACCAATTGAACATCTGGTGGACACTTGCATGGCAGCTATTTTACCAAAGTTGAAAGAAACCATCACCTCCCTGATCAAAGATGCCCAATCACCTACAAACCAGATAGCAACTGCCAACCCTGGGCCATCCCAGTCACCTGAACCACAACTACCTGAGCCACAGTCATCAGCATTGCAACACATTACTGGAGACACCTCAGCTACAGGTATATGTGCTCCACAAGGGATGGCAAAACCTGTGGGATTAGGAGTTGATCCAAAAATTAAAGCAAAAATATTGGCTGGGGAATTCGTCAAATTTTCAACCCTCCTGCCCAAACCCCAACATGCACATGACCAAGACTCTAAATTCCACACAGTTGAGAAGGAAGGACAGTTGATGTTTGTCAAGGCCAATGACACAACCAAAATAAGGTCAATAAGTAAATGGCTTGAAGCCTTCCATATTTTTGTTTCCATTTACTGCTCGAAACATCCATCTGAAGTTGGAAACTTAATGACTTATGCTCAAATTGTGCAGGGCATAGCTAAGTCTTGTGGGGACGATGCTGCCCTGGATTATGATGAGAAATTCCGCCAATGGCACGAAGCCTCCCCACAGTCCTGCCCATGGAACCAGAAAAACTCAGAATTATTTCAGGATGCTATGGTTCTAGGGCTTGAGAACAAGTCTAAATACAAAAAGCAGCCTTTTCGTGCAACCCAGACCCGATACCGGCATTGTTTCACCTTCAACAATAAGGGATCCTGTCCCAAGGGTAACAGTTGCCCCTACCTACACATATGCCAAAATTGTACAGGAAAACACCCCAGAACCACATGCCTTAAATCTAAGCCAGGGCAACATAACTCCACATCTAAACAATTTAACAATAACACTGTCCGCAAACAACAACCTCTGTCCAAAAAAGACTAATGCTATTAGCACTCCTATTAAAGTATCCAGACTGGCCAATTATCTTCAAGGTTATGACACATCACTTTACCAATTTCTTATTGAAGGTTTTAAGTTTGGTTTTAAAATTCCTTTTCAAGGCACTCGCCAGTTCCGCCTGTCCAAAAACCTCCCATCTTTGATAGGTAAATCTGATGTCCTTAACAAGAAAATTGAACTTGAAATTCAGGCCAATCGTGTGGCAGGACCTTTTGACTTCCCTCCATTCAAAAACATCGAAGTTTCACCTCTTGGACTTGTACCTAAAAAGCAACCAAATGAATTTCGCCTCATACACCACCTTTCATATCCCCAAGGATCGTCAATCAATGATAACATCCCACATGAACTTTGCACTGTGCACTACCAATCCATTCAGGATGCAATAAAAGCTATTAAAGAAATCGGGGTTGGTGCTCTGTTGGCAAAAACAGATTTGGAAAACGCATATAAACAAGTTCCAATTCATAGGGATGATTTTGAACTTTTGGGGTTCTGCATAGATGGGAAATTCTTTTATGACAAGACCCTCCCATTCGGTTTAAATTATGCCTGCAACCTATTCGAGAAATTCAGCACATCCCTCCATTGGATTCTTCAAAATAAGTTTCTGTTAAACATTGTGTGCATATTCTAGATGATTTTTTGTTCATTGGCAAACCGGATACTTCAGAATGCCATGATGCATTAGCCTCATTTCATGTCCTAGCTAAGGAAATCAATCTGCCGATAAAATCTGAAAAAACTGTTCTACCTACTACAGTAATTACATTCATGGGTTTAGAGTTAGATTCATTGAGTTTTGAAGTCCGTCTCCCCGAAGATAAGTTAATTCATTTGAGACAAACTTTAACCAAATTTAAGAACAAGCGAACAGCTACCCATCGTGAATTACAATCCCTCATTGGACTTCTAAATTTTGCTTGTAACGTTGTGCCTCCCGGTCGCCCCTTTCTGAGAAGAATTATTGACTTAACACGGGGTATTCAAAAACCTCACCACCATCGTAACCTAGATAAAAATGCTCGTGCTGACCTAGAAGCTTGGTCAATCTTTGTTGAACATTTTAATGGCCGGGCCTTTTTTCCCTCGGGGCTGACCTGTACCTCAGAAACCTTGCACCTTTTTACAGATGCCAGTAACTTAGGATATGGTTGTATTTTTGGTACAAAATGGTTTTTTGGCCCATTTGATACCTCGTGGCAGGAACTTCACATATCAGTTCGGGAATTCTTTCCCATCATTCTTGCCATTGAAACCTGGGGATCATCTTTGTCAAATACAACTATTGTGCTTCATTCTGACAATATTGCTGTTGTCCATGTTATTAACAAGTTAACATTCCAAAGACTCAAATCTCATGAAACTCATGAGACGCCTTATGGTAAAAGCCCTCACCTATAACATTCATTTTCATGCAGAACATATTCCTGGACTCTGTAACACTGCTGCTGATCTTTTATCTCGATTACAGATTCAACAATTCAAAGCCAGCTTTCCGAAGATGGACATGGAAAGTACCTCAGTTCCAAAGACTTCTCTTCATCTCTGAGGAGCACAGCAGATTTCCTGATCAGCACCTCATTGTCCCAAGATTCGCTGAATTCATACAAAAACATTTTTTCCCGATACAAAGACTTTATTAAACTACATATTCATCCAAATCAAAATCCACTTCCACCATCACTAGACCATTTACTTCTATGTATTGCATATTGTTACCGCCAGAATCTCGCAGCCAGTACCACCAAAACCCACATTTCTGCATTGAGTTTTACTTTTAAACTCGGGAACTATCAGGATTTAACACAACACTTTCTCGTAAAAAAGCAACTACTGGGCTTCAACAAACTCAGCCCTTCCACTGACACCAGGCTGCCCATCACACGTTCAATTCTGACAAAATTAATTCATGTCCTACCTCATATTTCCAACTCTGCTTTTATCAGAATAATGCTTCATTCAATGTTCCTTTTGGCATTTTATGCATTCCTTCGGATTGGAGAATTGACAAAAACTGGCAGCGTAAAACAACACTATATATTGGCTAAACACTTGAAATTTATCACAAATGACCAGTCAGAAAATTGCATTGAACTGACAATCCCCCACGGCAAACATTCCAATAAATCTGCCATCTTGCAAATTCCACAAAATCCCAATGAACTGTTATGCCCTTATAAAGCCTGCAAAAAATTTTTATCCTTGCGAGCTCACCATTCTCTGAATGAGGCGTTATTTTCATTCATGGACAGCATACCAGTGTCACGAAAATTTTTCACGGACCATCTGCAGTTGGCTTTTTCAGCTTGTGGGGTTCCTAGGAATCTTTATCAGGCTCACAGTTTTCGAATTGGGGCGGCTACAGCAGCAGCAGAGTCTGGTTGGTCGGATACTCAAATCCAGTATATGGGACGCTGGAAGTCAACAGCATTTAGAAAGTACATCCGAATTCCGGTTCTTAAACTCTAATTTAGTGTGTTGATAAGTTTCGGACCTTTGTGTTTATTTCTCTTCCTGTGGTTCCTTGAAGTCAGGAGCTTCTGGTCCACCTCCATCTTTGTACATATCGCATATTACCTCACCATCAGGATCACGAAGTCAGGAGCTTCTGGTCCACCTCCATCTTTGTACATATTGCATGCTTATGCACCATCAGGATCACGAAGTCAGGAGCTTCTGGTCCCTGTGCATTAGCTGTATCACCGAGTCTGTATCCCCCTCTTCGTCAATGGAGTCAGGAGCGTCTTGTCATATCTTGTTTCCATTTTTTATGATGGGGCAGATCAAAACAGTAAACTGTTATGATCGGTGGCGGATGTGCCCCATCTTTTCAATCACATTCTGTATATTATGTAAGAATATTGAGCCTACTTCAGAGAAATACTTTATTATGTACATCACATTTTTGATAAATATTGCATAATGGTTTGAGAACTATGTTTAGTATGTTTTGTTTTGTCATAATTGTTTGAGAACTATGTTTAGTATGCTTTCGCATTGTCTTATTTGTGTTTACATATACATGACTTGTTTGACTATCCTGTCATTTATTTGACTAAATAAATGACATCTTCTATTCCTATACAGAGTGTTATGTGTTGTCTTTATTAAGGAGGTTATGTGTAATCAGGTACCCATAAAACAGGTTTATGATAATAAAACATTTATGGTTATTGATCCTTGCTATTTTGTATTTGCCACCTTTTCTTTAAATAGAAAAGTCATATGTGTCCTCTGCGCATGCGCAGTTTCTAGCGTCAGTCGCCATTTTTATTAATTCACAGAGGAATTCCCCAAGAAAATAAGTAACCACCACCCACCCCACCTCCTTATTTTTTGAACATTGTGTAAATTTATCCAATAACATGTAACTTTGATTGTATTAGTATTATGGCGGATGTGCCCCATCTTTTCAATCACATTCTGTATATTATGTAAGAATATTGAGCCTACTTCAGAGAAATATTTTATTATGTACATCACATTTTTGATAAATATTGCATAATGGTTTGAGAACTATGTTTAGTATGTTTTGCTTCGTCATAATTGTTTGAGAACCATGTTTAGTATGTTTTTGCATTGTCTTATTTGTGTTTCCATATACATGACTTGTTTGATTATCCTGTCATTTATTTGACTAAATAAATGACCTCTTCTATTCCTCTACAGAATGTTATGTGTTGTCTTTATTAAGGAGGTTATGTGTAATCAGGTACCCATAAATATCATATACGTATTGTTAAGAAAAGTATCAGGAAACAGAATCAGTACAGAATGTAGACTATGTTCACTATGATATAAATTGCAGAAACATAAACTATAATTCATCTGAAGAACTTTTAATAAGATAAGTTATTTTTGTCTCATTTTTATTTATCTATTACTTACAGGTCTACCTGATTATTAAAACTAAGAAAATACTTTTTGAATTATATGATAAACATTCTTGCATAATTATCTTAATCTATTAACCTTTCAAATACATTATTTACAGTGATTAATTATCAAAGGTGAATGGAAAAGAGGAATAACTTCTCTGAGTAGAATACAAATTAATAGAGCCCTGCCCAGGACTAGAATGCTTAGACAAAAGGTCCAGATGTTCAAAAATCTGGTAGAAATACGCTTAATTATATCATTTAAACTTTTACTCAGGTTTCTTCCAATATGCTCAGAAGCAGAGAAGAATTTCACAGGTACAATGCATTTTCACTACAGATTCAACAAAGCCTTACCCTAACACCAGAACCCAAGACCAAGGGTCAAGAAATTTACAAATTTGGAAGAGTTACCCTCATCTTCATAACTATGGACTTTAAAGAATTAACACTTTTCCACTATATTATCAAATATCAAAAGCCCCCCCCCCCCCACACTTATGCCAGAACCCCTGACCCTAGGACCACAAGATTTAAAAATTCTGTTCGAAGCTCCCATTTTCATCATAGCTAAGCAATTTATTTATCAGCTCAACGCTAAGGAGCAGACAGGATTAATTAATGATTAATTAATAGAATTAATGCTTTTTCACTATATAATCAATAGAGTCCCCCTTCCTCAACAACCCCAAAAAACTAAGGCCATATATTTGAAAATTTTGCAAAAGGCATCCTTGCCTATCATAATCATGCACTTAGTTTGTTAAATAATCTTCAGTAGCAGAGAAGAAGATTTTCAAAAAATCAATGCATTTTCACTATATAATCAATAGACCAGAACCCCTGACCCTGGGACCTTGAAATTCACAATTTTTGAAAAGACATCTTTATGCATCATAACCATGCACTTAGTTTGTTGAAATAATCTCCAGTAGCAGAGAAGAAGATTTTCAAAGAATTAATACATTTTCACTATATAATCAATAGAGCCCCGCCCTAACACCAGAACCGCTGACCCTGGGGCCATGAAATTCACAAGTTTTGAAAAGGCATCATAACCATGCTTTTGGTTTGTTTAAATAATACCCTGGAGCAGAGGAGAAGATTTTCAACGAATTAATGCATTTTCACTATATAATCAATAGGGCCCCTCCCTAACATCAGAACCCCTCACCCAGGGGCCATGGCTTTCATAATTCTGGAAGAGGCCCACCTCCTCATCATAACTATGTACTTAGTTTATCACCTTAATGCCCAGGAGCAGAGGAGAAGATTTTCAAAGAATTAATGCATTTTCACTACATAGTCGATAGAGCCCCGCCCTAACACCAGAACCCCTGACCCTGGGGCCATGAAATTCAAAATTTTTAAAAAAGCACTTTTGCTCATCATAACTATGTACTTAGTTACTTTATTTAATACCCAGGAGCAGAGAAGAAGATTTTCAAAGAAATAATGCACTTTCACTATATGATCTATATAGCCCCACCCTGGGGCCAGAACCCCTGACCCTGGGGCCATGAATTTCACAATTTTGGTAGAGGGCTCACTGCTTATTACAATGATGCCAACAGTTTGACTGCTTGATGTCCTGGAGTAAAGAAGATTTTTAAAGATTGCATTATTTTTGGTGGTTTTAGCCCCACCCCTAAGGTCCCAGGGGGGCAGGGGCCATGAAATTCATAATTTTTGTTCCCCTTCACCCATAGATGCTATATGCCAAATTTGGTTGAAATTGGTTAAGCGGTTTCAGAGAAGAAGCTAAAAATGTTCAAATGTTAACACAAGACGCACGCCGACGGACGAGAACGGAGAGCAATAGGTCACCTGAGTGACTCAGGTGACCTAAAAATACAAAATGTTAAAAAAAAACTAGTAAGAGGGAAAAAAATACAAACCTGTCAGTTTACGAAATAATGTTAACCCTATTCTCTATTTTGATGTCACAACTGTATGAGTCGAACTTATATACAAGTTCCTTGACCTTATTCCTAGATATACTTTGTTTTGAGAGGTCAAGGTCTTAACCTCCTTTTTTGTTAACATGACCTAAGCCAGATTTGAGAATCATGCCCTCTACATGACATAGTTCAAGGTTTGGTCTATATGCTTTAGGTCAAGGCAATGTAACGTGACCTAGAAAAGAATCGAGACTCGCGGCCTTAAAATGACCTAGAGCATGACCTAAGGTCAAACACTTAAGGTCAATGTTATGACCTTGTCCTTGTGTAATGAGGTCAAGGTTATGACCTAGACTCCAAGGATTAGGTCAAGGGCATGACCTTGACATTATTTAGGTCAAGGTATGACCTAGACCTTATGGAATTAGGTCAAGGTCATGACCTTGACCTCATTTCCTTGAATGTATTGAGTGTTAAGCATACCCCCTGCTGCTCTTGATGGAACCGTTGAGGTCATCATCATCTTCTGACGGGTTGTGGGCCTAACTGTAACCAGGGCTTGCCTTGATGGAAACATTAAGGTCATCATCATCATCTTACGGGTTGTGGACCTAACTGTAATGGGTGTTCTGACTGACTGAGTTGCCTGTAACTGGTGCTGTTATACAGAAATATTATATATATATATATATATATATATATATATATATATATATATATATATAACATTGTAATACCAAAATTTCATGTTGCAAAATTAATTTCAATCAGTCAGTAAAATGTTTACATGTACATGTCAGTAAATTGTTGTTGACTGACCCTTGTGTATTACTTTTAAATATTTGATAATACATGATACATTAATAGAGACGCTCTGAGGAAATAAGTGGTTCATTTAGTCTTCGGACTTCAAGTGATCAAAGTTTATTACATGTTATTTTTATCACAGTATTTTTTTTTCAAGTCATATTTACAATTTCAAATTTTCTGCAAACAAGATTATCAATGTTTCTTTTCTTTCTTTTTATAATAAATTCCTGGTTTTTTTTTTAATTACTTCCTTCCTGTTTAGCTTCGGTACATTACATCAACCATAACATATATACAGACAGCTAGGACGAACAATAACTCGATTACGGTCATCTTGTTTTATAAAAATTTCTGTAATACATACTCACTTTCGCCAGAATCTATTATATTTTGGATTCCTTACCCTGTTTAAAGATCATTTCATACCTTATTGGGCCACTGTATGGCGTGAACCATGTTTATGAATTACTTCCGGTAAAATACTACTTTATGGTAAGGGAACGTTTCAGAATTCCTTACAACTGAGTATCATGATTGTCGGTTTCTATATATATATAAAAAAAAAACTATTTACATATACACCTTTTTTATCCCTTTTCTTTCTATTTATGATCAGTATTGCATGAAGAAATTAAATATAAAATCTATTAATAACCTTTTAAAGATTGAACATTTCAACTTGCTAACCGAATGTCCAATGTTAACGTTCATTACCATTCAATAGTAAATGTACTCTTTTTCTATTGGGTTCTTTGATCACGTGAGTAATCTTTTTTCCCACGGTTTCCATTCAACACTTGATCGCCCAGAAATTCTTTTACTAATTTTAGTGATCGGCCACTTAAAAATTGTTGTAACAAGTGATTCAAAGTCAAACGTTTCCTGAAGTATAAACCGGGTCAAGCCCGGGCGATGAAATAAGAGACCGCATGATATATATATATATATATATATATATATATATATATATATATATATATATATATATATATATATATATATTAAAAAAAAGAAAAATAGAAGTTCATTATAAATATACACTCTTGCCTGTATATTTGTTGCCGATTCGGTCTCGAATAACTGGATTGGCCAGTCAATCTTCACTATTTTCAGATCGCACGAAAAGAGAGTTATTTCTCGCATATTCGGATTTCCTCGAATAATTACACACGGTCGTGAAGACATCTGTAAACTCCCTTTGTGGGTAAACATACATTGCAGCTGCGGCAAAACTCCAAATTGAAAATGTTCAATAAAAACAATACCCAGCACGTCCATTTTCACTTATGTGGCGGTTGGCGCGAATTGTGCACGTGCAATTGATCATCTGACGGGTTACAATAGGCCAA